AGCACTGATACGGGGGCCGTTCCGTGCCCACAGCTCACTCTCCTCTCACTCTCCGCTGCTCAGCAAGCCCTCCAGCCCGGGCTGCTGCGGAGTCAGAGGCGTCCCGTGTTCATGAAAAGCCTACTATGTGCCCGGCACTGAACAAGCGCTAGTCCTAGGACCGCACATCCTGGCTTCCAGTCTGGCTCCCCTCACCTGTTGATCAGGAGACCGGCCCCGGGACTTCCCCCCGGCTGGCTGTGCCGGGGCCCAGCGGGCCCAGTGAGCCCAGTGAGCGGCTCAGCGAACGCGGCAGGGCTCGGACACGCTCCCTGAGGAACGCGGGTGTCCACTCCTGGGATCCCAGGCCGGCCCGGCCCCAGGCGCGTCCCGCCCGGCAGGAGTGCCCGCAGGGACAGGCGGCCAGGCCGCCGGCCGGTCCTCCCGGTCCGAACCCGCCCTCCGGCGCCCGGACGCGCCACTCCCCCCGCCCCGCGCGGGCGGGTCGGCGCCTTTCCTCCCCGGAAGGGGGTCCGCCCGGAGTGGGACCCCTGCCACCACCGCGGCCCGGCCCCGGGAGGCCGGGACAGTGACAAAAGGAGGGAAGTTTCTCCGCCGGAGCCGCCCGGGTCGCGCGCTCCGGGCTGACAGCCGCGGCCGGGCGGGCGGCCGCCAACTTTTCCTGAAAGACGCGGCCGCCCTACCGGAGCGGCGCGGAGCGGAAGGTCAGCGGGCGGGCGGGGGCGCCGGGAGCGCCCGGCTCGCCCGGCCGCCCGCGAAGTTGGCCGGCGCGCCCCACTTTCCTTTTTGTCTTCGCGGCTCCGGGGCTCCGCCGGGCGGGCGGCGGGCGGGGGCGGGGGCGCGGGCGGCGGCCGGGCCTCCCCGCTCCGCGCCGCGCCCGCCCCGCCGCGCCGCCTCCGCCCGCGCCCGCACAAAGCGCGCCCGGCGCCGCGCGGCCCGCACGCCCGGGGCCTCGGCCCGGCCTCGGCCTGAGGCGCGGCGGCGGCGAGGAGGCGCGGGCCCGTCTCCGGCGCAGCGCCCCCGCCCGCCCGCCCGCCCGCGCGGCGCCCCCGCCCGGCGCCCCCCGACCCCGCCGCCCCGCGCCGCCCGCCCGCGCCCGCGCCCGCGCCCGCGCCCGCCGCCGGCCCGTCGGTCCCGCTCCTCACCTCGGCATCGGCGGCGGCCATGGCCCGGGCCCACAGCGTGGCCCCGCCCCTCCCGCGCGCCATCGCCCCGCCCGCGCCTCGCGGCCCAGGGCGGGGCGGGCGGATGGCGAGTCTGCGCCTGCGCCCGTGCCCGCGCCTGCGCACTGCGGCCTGACGGCGGCGTCCGCGGCGGGCCCTGCGTCGGCCGGAAGCGGGGCGCGCGGGCCTCCGGGGGCGGGGCCCGGTGGGAAGGCCGGCCCGGGGGCGGCGCGGCCCGCGGAGGGCGACCTTTCCCCAAACACCAGCTCCTCCCATTAGGCTTCCGGCGGGCGGGCCGGGCGGAGAAGAACCTCTGACCTCTAACCTGCGCGGGCCTTCTCTGGGGCGGGCCCTGCCCTGCGGCCCTGGGCGGGGGTGCGCCAGGTTGGGAAGGGCTGCCCGTCGGAGCTGTGCGGGTTATGGGGAGCCCCAGCTGGGGAAGGTGTCGGGGCTGCGGAGGCCGCCGAGGCGGGGAAGGGGACTGGCCCCTGGGGAGAATGGCTCCAACTCGGTAGACGCCCCACGGGGAGCGCTGTCCGAGGTCAGAGGGGCTGCGTTAGGGAAGGGGCCGCGATGAGGGGCGGTGCCCCGCCCGGGGGTGCCCCAGCCGGTGACACGTCGGACTGAGAAGGAGGGTGCCTTGTTGGGGAAGGTGCTCCACGTCCCCTTGGGGAGGGTTGCCCACGTTTGGGGGTGTTCTGGTTAAGGGAGATGCCTGACTTGGGGGTGCCCCCGCCGCGCAGCGTCCCTGATCACCCCAAACCCCATGCCCAGTTGTGCGCAGGGACTTCTGTGGAAGCACTGGCTTAGGCCTCCCGTTCCCCAGTCCAGACCAGTTCCTCCCATCCCCTGGGAGTGGAGGAGAGAAGCGTGGACTGCAGTAGGGGTTCTCTGGCCAGTCTTCAAAACAAGAACTGAAGAGCCGAGTTGAAGGTGAACCGGCCCCTCGACCCCATGAAGGCTCGGTCTCCCGGGAGAAAGACGCAGGGCCATGCCTTTAGTCCATCGTTGACGGGGCACACAGGTGCAGAGGAGGAAATGGATGCTCCTACCTACCAAGGAAACCTTCCAGCGGTTTCTTTCTGGCAGCCTGGCAGCTCGTGACAGGCTGGGGACCCCCAAGCCCGTTCTAGAGCCTCAGACAGAAGGCTCAGGAAGTTATCCTCCATGGTTCATGCCCCCCAGCCTGGCCCGCCTTCAGCCACACCTGCCTCTCAGGGCTGTCCTCTCCATCACCACTCCTGCCTTGGGCCCTCCTCTGTCCCTTCCCAGAAACCCTTTCAGCTCAGGGATCTGAGTGGCTCACTTCTCTACCATCCTTCAATACCACCTCGCCACTTAAAAAATGATACTGCATGCCGAAACCGGTTTGGCTCAATGGATATAGAGCGTCGGCTTGGGAACTGAAAGGTCTCGGGTTCGATTCCGGTCAAGGGCATGTACCTTGGTTTCGGGCATATTCCCAGTAGGGGGTGTGCAAGAGGCAGCTGATTGATGACTCACTCGTCGATGTTTCTACTTCTCTATCTCTCTCCCTTCCTCTCTGTACAAAATCAGTAAAATATATATATTTTTTAAAATGATACTGCACCCCAGGACTTTGCTTCATTTTGCTTTGTAACCATATTGTCTATTTTTTCTCACTATAATGTAAGTCCAAAAGGCCAAAGGTTTTTGTCATGTGTCCTGGTGTTTAGAACTACACTTGGCATGTAGGATTCAAAGTGAACATCAGTGGTTGAGTGTCGACCTATGAACCTGGAGGTCACAGGTTGATTCCCAGTCAGGACATATTGCCTGGGTCGCGGGCTTGATCCCCAGTGTGGGGGGTGCAGGAGGCAGCTGACCCATGATTCTCTCTCATTGATGTTTCTATCTCTCCCTCTCTGAAATCAATAAGTATATTTTTACATGAACATTAGCTCAATGAATGATATGAAAAATCCTTTGCCAGGCAAATACCAAAACAAGTGAAATGTCAGAGGTTGGCCGCACGCCTACTTTGGGCCATGAGGGCAGCCTGCCCCTATCCTCGGGGTCACTGGTAACAACATGCCAGGGGCTGCCCTCTGCATGTGACAGGTTAACTCTAACCATCAGGCCAGTCCTCAGAGACAGATCGTTGTTCTTATCCACATTCTGTGAATGTGCAAAACCAAAGCCAGGAGTTGTGTTCAAGGCCACGCAACTGACTAGGGGCAGAGATGCGATTTGAACCCGTGTCGACTGAGGCTGCAGCTTCTAGCAGATGGTCAGCAAACTCATCTGTCCACAGAGCCAAATATCAACAGGACAAGGTCTGAAATTTCTTTGGAGAGCCACATTTTTTAAACTGAAACTTCTTCTAACGCCACTTCTTCAACATAGAGTCACCCAGGCTGTGGTATTTTATGGAAGAGCCACACTCAAGGGGCCAAAGAACCTCATGTGGCTCTCGAGTCGTGGTTTCCCGACCACGGTATTAGGTGATCCTGTTGGGGGTCAACTTTGTGCTTTTCTCCAGTTTTCATCCTCTTTTCATCCTACACATAATACAGTGTGGCCTGGCACATGGCTTCCCGATAAAGAGCACATTTCCAACCACAGTGGCCAGTGGGATGTGGCAAAATGGATCATCTGCCAGCCCGTCCCCCGAAAGTAGGCCCAGAAACTGTAACAGCTGCCCTGGGTCCAGGGGTGGGAGCCTGGACCAGAGAATGCCAGCTACCTCACGAGGCCCAAGCCCTTCCCTTCTGGACTGTTCGATGTTCAAGAAATAAACTGGTCCCGGTGGGGGAATGGGGGCCCCACCTGTCCCTTCATAGGCCCATGAGTTTGTCATAAGTTAAGGAGACAGACCCTCGGCCAAGGTCACCCTCCACCCAATGGCAGAGCCAGACTTTGTTCCAGGGCGGCTGGCCAGGTAGGGCTTGCAAAGTCCTCAGGATGCCCCTTTGGTGAACATCTTTCCGCAAAACCCTGACGCTGTCCGCTCGTGCGTTCCTGAGTCCCAGGTCAGGAGCAGGCCGGGGTGCTCCTACTTGGACGGGAGGCAGGAAGCGGACTGTGGGACGTGGCAGCGGTGCCAGCAGCAGCGTGACCCTGGAGGCCAAGGCTCAGGGCCAATCCTCCCCTCCACCCCGCGGGACTGCCTGCGGCGCAGCTCTAACTGCGCTCCTGGAAGGGTGGGGGCCGGCCGGCCGGGCGGCCCAGGGGTGCGCGCACAGGCCGGAACGGCGCGCTCCCAACCGACGCCTGGGCTCCAGCCCAGAAACCGGGCTCCGGGGTCCAGGGAACGCGCCCGGGAGGGAGGACCCAGGAGGAGGGGCGCGTCCAGGAGGGGAGGGGCCCGAGGGGCAGGTGCCCGGAAGGGGCGGGTCCAGAAAGGCTGGTGCCCTGGGGGCGGGGCTTGGCGTGGGCGGGCCTCGCCTGGGAGGGAGGAGGGTGGCCGTGGAGGGCCCCCAGGCTGGGCCGGCGCATGTCCGCCGCAGGAGGGCGCCCGAGAGGCCGCGCCCAGCACTACAAATGGAATGCTTTATTTACAGGTGGGGTCCAGCCCTGCCGCCCGGCCGGCCTGCGGCCTGGGAGAGGCCACCTGCGGGGGGCCGGCCGGGCGCATCGAGTCCTGAGACGGCCGGTCAGGCCGGGAGCAAAGGCACGAAGCCCTGGGCGCCGGTCCCATGGCAAAGGTTGGCCAGCCGGGAGAAGGCGGCGAGGGGTCAGCTCCCGGGGGGTCAGCCCCCCAGGGGGTCGGGCCAGGGGTCAGCTCCCGGGGGTCAGCTCCCGGGGGGTCAGCTCCCGGGGGTCGGGCGGGGGTCAGCTCCCGGGGGTCAGCTCCCAGGGGTCAGCTCCCGGGGGTCAGCTCCCGGGGGTCGGGCCAGCGTCCGCACTGCCGCAGCTCTGCTCATAGGACGGCGGGGCCTCTGCGGAGAGAGGGAAGTCAGAGTGGGGCCCAGGCACCTCCGCACCCCGGCCCCTGGCCCTCACTCACCACAGGGCGGGGCCCACAGGCTGTACTCCGGGGGGAGGATCCAGGTGCTGGTGGAGGGCACCGGCCCGCCAGACCCGTCTGCGAAGTAGGGCACGGTGGCACCCGCGGAGACGCACAGGGCCGGGGGCAGCAGGTGGGAGGCAGGGCCGCTACCCGGAGGGCAGGGTTCAGGGGCGCCGGGCACCGCCCCGAAGGCGGCAGGCGGCCACAGCTGCACGTGGCTCTTGGCGAAGAGGGAGACAGGGTCCGCCACGTGGGGTGGGCCCGTGGCCCCGGCCTCCGCCTCCTCCTGGGGCGGGGCAGAGGGCACCACCGAGCACTGAGCCCCAGGAGGCGGCCCGGGGCCCGGCTGGGGACTTGTCGGGGCCGAGTTCACAGCGATGTTGCCGATGAAGACCGGAAGCATCACAGAGGCTTCGGGCACCTTCAGGGAGAACTGCGAGGGGCGAGGGGCGGGTGGTGAGGGTCCGGACCACCAGGCCCCCTCCCCACTCCCCTCTCCCCGCCCCCCGCCGCCCCCAACCCCAGCACCTGCAGGTAGTAGTCGACGTGGATGAGGCTGCAGCCCGGCAGGGCCGACTGGGGCAGGGGGGGCACCAGGATCTGCTCTTGCCACTGGGTCCGCCGCCAGGCCTTGACGCCGGCGCCCTCCACGTCGGCGATGGCCCGCACGTCGTAGATCCAGCGCTTGGCCTTGTAGGACACTTTCTAGGGAAGGGCCAGCCCGTGAGCCCCGGCGGGACGCGACCACCCCTCCCCCACCTCCCGCGGGGACCTGACCTGCAGCAGGCTGGCCACCACCGCGCCGGTGTCCTTGCCCGACTGGTTGTCGATGTCGGCCTGCAGCCGCAGCACCTGCCCCGCCACGTAGCCGCGGAGGTCGGTGCTGGCCGTGAGCACCACGCTGCCCGTCCGCACCAGCTTGTAGGAGAACTTCTTGGTGGTGGAGGCCACGTTGGGTTGCTGGGGGGAGGGGGAGGGGGAGGCAGTTGGTGGGCCCTGGCCCAGCCCACTCGGCCCGCCGCCCGGACCCCGGACACAGCACGGTCAGGTCGGGACGGGGAGGTCTCCCTCCGCCGCCGGGGACAGGGCACGGCCCCAGCCCCCTCACCTGGATGTCCGGGATGCTGTTCAGGTTCAGGGGGCTCAGCACGTAGAACGCGCAGCTGCACTGGTGATCCTTGGAGAAGCGCGGCGTGTCGATGGTGGCCCGCACCTGGTACGCGATCTTCCCAAAGGGGCCCTCGAAAGACGTGGGCGCCGTGGCTGCAGAGAGAGCGCGGACTGGCACCCAGCCGGCCCCCACCTCCCTCCCCCGCCAGCCAGCCCCCCACCTCCCCCGCCAACCGGCCCCCCACACCCCTCCCCGCCAGCCGGCCCCCCACCTCCGCCTCCCCCGCCAGCCGGCCCCCCACCTCCCCTCCCCCACCAGCCTTCACCGCCAGGCCCGGCCCAGCAGGCTGGGCGCTGCTCGCTCACCAGGAAGCAGAAACTGGAAGGGGAAGCTGTGCTCTCCTGTAGGCAGGCTCCCTGCGGAGACAGCGGGGAGGTGTGTGTGGGGGGGGCCAGGGCACCTCCGGAGCCTGAGGGGACACCACAGGGCCCAGGAGAGGAGCAGGTGCCACAGCCAATCGGCTGCTGGGACGCCCAGCCCCTGTGCCCAGCGCCCTGGGCAAAGGGTGGGCCGAGAGCTTGGCTTAAACCAGTGGTCGGCAGACTCACCAGTCCACAGAGCCAAACATCAACAGGACAACGACTGAAATGACTTTGGAGAGCCACCTTTTTTTAAACTGAAACTTCTCTTAACGCCACTTCTTCAACACAGACTCGCCCAGGCCGTGGCATTTTGTGGAAGAGCCGCACTCAAGGGGCCAAAGAGCCACATGGGGCTCGTGAGCTGCGGTTTGCTCACCATGGGCTTAAAGGACAGGGGGCCGGGCCGGGGTTCCCGGAGGCAGATGGGAATGGGGGAGGACAGACAGGCTGCCGGGCGGACGCACCTTTGTCCGCCAGCGACAGGGTGCTGTTGACGTAGCCCTCCTCGGCCACGCAGGCGGTGTCGTTGGCCTTGGCGGAGACCCTGCAGGAGCCGGTGCAGCTCACCCGGATCGCTGAACGAGGGGGGACAGGTGTGAGCCCCAGCCCCCGGCCCGGCCCCTCCCTGCCCAGCTCAGGCATCCACTCAGGGCTGGCAGCCCCCACACACACTGGGGCCTGAGAAGGCCAGCAAGGGTTTGCTGCCTTTCAGAAGCTCCTGCCCATCCCCCAGCCCCGTGCTCACAGGGAGGCGCTGGGCACCTGTGCTGCTGCCCCGGGTCGCCCCGAGGGCATGAGACCGGTGAAAACCCAGCTCCCAGAGCGGGTGCTTGGGGAATGAGGAACAGAGGCCCGCGGGGCTGACCGCTGACCGGCCTTCACCTCCCGGGCAAAGTCAGTCAGACTGGGAGGCACCTGCACCTCCAGGGAGCGGAGCTGCGGCCTCAGCCTGCAGGAATGTGGTCAGACCCGCCTGAGCAGAAAAGGCACACAATGGCGGGAGGGGTCAGCCTGGACTTCCTGGGCCAGCGCTGCCCAGCAGGCTGATTTTTGCATCCAGAGAGGCCCGGTTCTCTCCCCTGCTCCCCAGCTTAGCGCCCGGGCCAGGGACCCTCGGCAGCCTCTGTTCTGTGGTCAGGAGCTCGGACGCCTCAGTCCAACAGCTCTGCTCCGAGCCCCAGATGGGCAGAGGCCACACGGGACCGACCACCAGCCCGGGAGGCGGGGCACCGCAGGTGGAGGGGCAGGAGCTGAGCGGCAGGTGGCCTGCGGCCCCACCCTCCTCTCACGCAGGCCTGAGTCAAGGCCAGAGACCGTGGCATCTCCGCCCAGTCCCACTCCTTCCCTGACTCAGTGTCAGGTGAGGGGAAAGTGACGCAGACCTGACACCTGACTGATGGAGCCACCACGGAGGAAGTGCCAGGGGCCCAGGTCCAAGCCAGGGGTCAGCCAGGCCAGCCATGGCCACGGAGCCCCGGGCTGGCCCACCTGCTGACAGACTTCCCATGCCACCGTCCGCACGCGGTTCCTACAGACCCTGGCTCTCCTCTGCCCCCGTCGGCACGGCCAGCCACCAGCCTTCGGCCTCTGTGCCATCCATCCCATCTCCCCTTGGGGGCCTCAGCCTGCTCTCTAACCCTCGCTCCTCGGTCAGCCGAGCCCCCTGGGTCCAGGCCTGGAAGTGTCCTCACCCTGAAATCTGGGCAGCAGGGCTCCGACCGCCCCTCATGGCCCAGGGGCAGCCAGGCGGGCATGAGCAGGCAGGGCGGGCAGGGTGGAGGGCCGGGAAAGCGCCCAGCTTTAACCCTCCCGTGGGCGGGCACGGCCCCACTTGATCCTGCTGCCCTGGGGATGCTGGGGCCCACAGAGTGTGCCAGAAGGATGCAGTGGTTCCAGGACGGGCCCGGTGCCCGCCGGGCATTGCCAGGTGACCCCAGTGGACGGCGCACGGAGCTGAAGAATGCATCTGCCCACCTGTGCCCAAATTCCTACCACCACGGGGAGCTAACTCCACTCAGCTCAGGGACGAGCTGTTACTCTGGGTTTACATAGTAGCAGATGAGGCACAGGTTCCACTCATTTGTAACCTTCCGATTGGCAACTATTCGATCCTGTGATGTGCTGAGGAGAAACAGGCACGCACTGGGAGTAACCAAACGTAGGCGCCAGGGGCATGGAGAGGCGCCAAGCAGGAAGGGCAGGGACCAGGGCCCCAGCAGCTCTCAGAACCTCACGCCATCCATCCACCCAGAAGCCCCAAGCACCACCCCTCCCTCTCGTAAGGCCGGCCATCGGGGACCAGCCCATGGGCCCGGTGGGTGGCTGAGACTCCCCCCCCACACACAGCTTGGCCTGCCCCCCAGCGTTCAGGTAAAGACCAGTGGGAGCACCTGACCCGGAAAAAGAACCGGTATCAAAGCGAACACTGGTTACCCCCAGGGCAGTGGCCTTCCCAATGCCCAGCAAAGAGGCTCCTTGGGGGACCCCGACTGAGTGAGCCGCGTCCAGTCGCCGTCTCCGAGGAAACCGTCCCGTCCCTTCCACCCTCTTCTCCGGACGATGGAGCAGAGGGATGGACACACGCAGAACCGCCTGCCCCTGGAGGAGAGCACAGCCATGCCCTGGCAGTGCCCACCACGCAGGTGCCGATGGGCAGGGGTGCTCACAGTGCTGAGCAGGCTGCGCCCCGGGCTGCGCCATCCGGGTCGGACTGCTCCGTCTCCCAGTGCTGGGACGGATAACGGATGGCAGCACTGGGCTGACGGGCACCCCTGTTTAAATGTTTGGGGCTGCTCCAGTTCTCCAAGGAAAATCATCTCGTGGCCCCGCTGGGATGGCTCAGTGGTCGAGCATCAACCCATGAACCTGGAAGTCAGGATTCAATTCCTGCTCAAGGGCACAGGCCCGGTTGCCGTCTCAATCCCCAGTGAGGAACGTGCAGGAGGCAGCCAATCAATGGTTCTATCAACACTGATGTTTCTATCTGTCCCTTCCTCTCTGAAATCAACCCTATATAATAAAAGGCTACTATGCAAATTGACCAAACAGAACAACCAGTTGCTATGACAGGCACTGACCACCAGGGGGCAGACACTCAATGCAAGAGCTGTCCCCTGGTGGTCAGTGCGCTCCCACAAGGAGAGCGCTCCTCAGAAGCCAAGCTCAAGGCTGGTGAGACTCTCCTGCCTTGGCGGCTGTACTAAGCATGTTCGACTGTAGGCTTTACCTCCTCCCCCCCCCCAGGGCTCCTGGACTGCAAGAGGGTGCAGACCTGGCTGAGGGACACCACCCCTGAGTGCACCAATTTCATGCTCTGAGCCACTAGTAAAAATATATTAACCCGGCCGGTTTGGCTCAGTGGATAGAGCGTCAGCCTGTGAACTGAAAGGTCCCAGGTTCAATTCCAACCAAGGACACAGGCCCAGGTTGTGGGCTCATCCCCAGTGGGGGACTTGCAGGAGGCAGCCGATCCATGATTCTCATCACTGATGTTTCTATCTCTCTCTCCCTCTTCCTTCCTTTCTGTAATCAATAAAAATATATTTAAAAAAAAAATTTTTTAAGAGCCAGGACTGGTTTGGCTCAGTGGATAGAGCGTCGGCCTGCAGACTGAAAGGTCCCGGGTTCAATTCTGGTCCAGGGAATGTACCTTGGTTGCGGGCACATCCCCGGTAGGGAGTGTGCAAGAGGCAACTGGTCGATGTTTCTCTCTCATCGACGTTTCTAGCTCTCTATCTCTCTCCCTTCCTCTCTGTAAAAAATCAATAAAATATATTTAATTTTAAAAAAAAGAAAATCTTATTTTCTTTCCCTACGTCAGCCCTTCTCTCTGTCCTGGTTCCAAATCTGTCCCACGAGGAAGCAGTGCCCACCTCCCAGGCTGCCATGAGGCGGACCACTGGACGTGGGGAGGGAGGCATCTGGCCCATGACAGGAGCTCAGTGAGGGGGTGGGGGCTGGCTGCTGTCCTTCCCCATGTCCCCCTGGGATGGAGGTCTCCCCACTGATCACTGGCTGGCAGCAAGGGCTCAACAAGTACCTTTTCAATAAAAGACGGAAAAGAGCCAATCTGTCCTTTCCCCGACCCAGGCCGGCCGGGAGAAAGCCTAGCGCAGCTCAGCGGCCACAAGCCCTCTGCTCCCAGGGTCACCTGACCAAAACCCCTGCTCCCCCGCCCACCCTCCACCTTCCCCTCTCCCGCTCTGAGACCCCCACTTTTACGGGTGGGACCACCAGCGGGGCTCCCTCGGCCTTCTGTGGCAGCTGTAAGCTCACCCACAGCCCACAGCCACGTGAAAGCCAGGGGGGCTCTGTCCAGGCCAGACCAGCCCCCCACAGCTCAGGCCATCCCTCCACTGTGGTCAGCAACAGCCTGCTCTCTCAGGAGGCTGACAGGTGGGCAAACCAGGTGATGAGCTTGGTGCGGGGCTCAGCTGCCCCAGCTGCAAGGCTGCGCCTCCTTCCGGGACCCAGCACAGCACTCTCCTGTCTGCCAGAAAGCCGGCCCCATCGCACTTCCCACCTCTCGCTTGTGCCCCTGCCACACCCACTCCCACCCAAACCCCAAACTCCAAACTCCAACTGGGGAGACGAGATAGGAGGTGACAGTCTCATGGGGAGGAGATTCCACAGGCCAAACCCCGAGCGAGGGGTGAGAAGGCTACTTACACCAGCCTCTTCTCAGACCCCGTGGCCGCCCACTGTGGGGCGAGGGGCAGGTGAGGCCTGTCCAGGACGAGGCAGTGGCTGCCCAGGGGGCTCTCGGTCCTCAGTGGGGACCAGAAGCACTGACCTGTCAACCACACAGGGTCTGGAGGGCCAAGGTCCAGGGGGAAGCCAGGCGGCTGTGGCTTTGGCTGAGCACCCCGAGGTGGAGGAGCACACCAGCAGGGACATGACGCACAACCTTGTGTTGAGTCAGGGATCCCCCACCCCACCCTGAGGGTCGAGCCCCGAGGACCCACCTGGGCCCCGGGGGGACACCTGGGACAGGAGAGATGGGCACCTGGGGAGGGTGCTAGGGAGGGCAGTTGCGGCAACCTGATACCCAGTCCAAAGCCCCAGCAGGGGGGACAGGCCAGGAGGGCTCAGGTTCACCTCCCAGATGCCAGCGGGGCTAGGGGCCTGGGGCACCCAGGGGTGAGCAAGACACCCCTGTGCACAAGAACAAGCTTAGACTGGACGTAAGCAGGTGCCCATCTGGGAACCCGCAGACTCGGCAGTGGGACTGTCCGCGCCAGGAGCCCAGCCCCCCACGTAAGGGCCCAGCAGGTGCAGGCACAGCGGGCCCCGCAGACCCGGCAGCGAGGGGCGGAGCTTGTCTGTGTCCAGGTCACAGTGGGCTCTGCCAAGACGGACAGGCGCTAAGCCTTCACCGGGCGGAGAGGACAGGAAGGGCAGAAGCGGAAGCCTGGGCCACCCGGGCCTCCCTGCTCTGCCCCGAACGCCGCCGGCCTCCCACCCAACACTCCCAGCAGCCGGGGCGCCCACACGGGCCCCGGACTGTGCTAGGGGGAAGGGGGTGTCCCAGACCCAGCGACATCGGCGGCGCTTCCGGGAGCCCCGGCCCGGCCCCAGGAGCCGGCGCAGCCACCTGAGCCCACTCCCGCCCGGCCCGCCCGAGGCGACCCGCGCCCACCTCGGAAGGGCAGAGGCGCCCCCAGGCACACGTGCACGGCCCCCGCCAGCGGCTCCCCGGGGCTGTAGACGAGGCGGCCTTGGCTCAGGCGGATCTCGAAGAGCTGCACCCGCCCCATGCCGCCCGCGGGCCCGACCGGACGGCCGCTCGCTGCTGCCCCCGCCCGCCTGCTGGCCGGCTCTGCTCTGAGCGCCGCACCGGTGCGACTCGCCCTGGACCCCGCCCCGGACCCCGCCCCTCCGGCCCTACCTCCAATCGGGACACGCCGCAAGCCAGACCACGCCCTCAGGCCGATGTGATCACGCCCATGTCCCCGCCCCCATTGTGGGGCCACGCCCTCTACACGCCTTACGCTCTCGAGCCCGTCCCCGACTCAGCCACGCCCCCACCTTCCGGGCCCGCCCAGGCCACGCCCTCCACGGGCCCGCCCCCAGGCTGTCACGCCCCCGTCCGCCGGGGTTTGCCTGGCCGGGTCCTTGGTCTCCTCGGTCCCCTCGCGCGCCCGTCAGCCCGCGGCCCCGCCTCCGGCCCGCAGGGTGGAGGTCCGGCCGGGTCCGGGGGTCCGGCGCCCGGGCACTCCCGCTGTCCGGGGAGAGTGGCCGGCTCACCTCCCGAGGAGGCGAGGCCGCGGCCCGGCTGGGGCTGGGGATGGGCCGGCGGAGACGGGCCGGGTCGGGGTGGGGATGGGCCGGCGGAGACGGGCCGGGTCGGGGTTGGGGTGGGCCGGAGGAGACGGTGGGGATGGGCCGGCGGAGACGGGCCGGGTCGGGGTGGGGGTGGGCCGGAGTTCTGCGGAAGGACGTCCGGAGGGCTGCGGGCGGGTGTGCGGGCGCTGGGAGCTCGCGGCGGTCCCGGGGCTCAGGGTGGGGTCCCCGGAGCGGCATGGACACGGAGGCGCGGGGCTGAGGGTGCGTGGGGCTGGGTGTGCATGGCTCCGGGGCGCGGAGGGGCATTCTCTGATGTGTGGTTTCCGAAAGGCGAGGCGGGTGGAGAGTGAGGTGGGGGCAGAGTGAAGGGGGGGAGAGTGAGGTGGGGGCCGGGACGAAGTGGGAGACCGAGAGCCTGGGAGAGAGGGCCGTGCCCGCTCAGCTCAGAGCTCGGAGCGCGGCCAGGGGCGCCCCCGCTAGTTAAACACGGGGCCTGTCGGAGGCGTCGGGTCAGCGCGGGGAACGGGTGGCGGTCTCTGGCGGAGAAAGCTGGCCTCGGTACACGCTGTTCGGGGCGTGGGAGAGTCACGGCCCGCAGGTCTGAGATGCCCGCCGGGCGCTTGCATGAGTTTGGGGAGACGGAGGATTGGAGATCCGTTACGCGCCCTTGTGTGGACGGAACTCGGGGCGCTGATGACGGTGAAGTTTGGGGTGAAACCACAGAGACCTAACCTGGCCCTCAGCTAATGGGGCGGGACTTCCTGCCCGCAGGGTCTGCGGAGCCACGGGAGGAAGGGCGGGGCCGGGGAGCCTTGGAGAGCAGGGGACAGGCAGGCGGCGCCGGACCCCATGCCTGGCTCCCCGGAGCCTGATGCGCCCCAGAGGGAGAGTCTGAGTGTGCAAATGAGGGGACTCCTGAGCCAGGGCGGGCTGCCCAGGAGAAGGAGGGGATTGTGGGCATCCCAGAATGCCACAAGTACCTACTGAAGTCAAGAAGGAAGAAGAGAGGTGTGCTGACGTCTTTCTCTAAACGTCCCTTTAAAAAATAAATAAATAAATAAATAAATAAATATTAATATATGAATGTATCATTGATTTTTTTACAGAGAAGAACAGAGAGGGATAGAGAGTTAGAAACAACGATTCGAGCCGAGACCGGTTTGGCTCAATGGATAGAGTGTCGGCTTGGGGACTGAAAGGTCCCGGGTTCGATTCCGGTCAAGGGCATGTATCTTGGTTGCGGGCATATCCCCAGTAGGGGGTGTGCAAGAGGCAGCTGATCGACGACTCTCTCTCATCGATGTTTCTAACTCTCTATCTCTCTCCCTTCCTCTCTACAAAAATCAATAAAATATATTTAAAAAAAAAAAAAAGAAAAGAAACAACGGTGCGAGAGAAACATCGATCAGCTGCCTCCTGCACACCCCCTACTGGGGATGTACCCACAACCAAGGTACATGCCCTTGACCAGAATCGAACCCGGGACCTTTCAGTCTGCAGGCCGACGCTCTATCCACTGAGCCAAACCGGTTTCGGCTCAACGTTCCTGTTTTTCAAAATATATATATTTTATTGATTTGTTACAGAGAGGAAGGGAGAGAGATAAAAGCATCAATTAGAAATGTCAATCAGCTGCCTCCTGCACACCCCCCACCAGGGATGTGCCCACAACCCAGTTGCATGCCCTTGACCGGAATCAAACCTGGGACCTTTCAGTCCGCAGGCCGACGCTCTATCCACTGAGCCACACCAGTTTTGGCTCAACGTCACTCTCCTCTTCCTCTCCTGGTGCCGGGCTTCCTGGGTGTCTCCACTCCCGTGCCTGTAGGTGCCCTCCTGAGCCCTGTCGCCATGTCCAGACCATTTCCCTGTCACCTTCAAAGCTTTGCCCGGCTGATAGGGCTCCGTGCTTGAGAATGGACCTATGAGGCAGAAGATCACGATTCAATTCCCCATCAGGGCACATGCCAGGTTGTGGGCTCTATCCCCACTGTGGGGCATGCAGGAGGCAGCTGTTCCATGACTCTCCTCACTGATGTTCTATCTCTCCCTCTCCCTCTCCCTCTCTGAAATCAATGTGTAACCAAATAAAGTGTACCTAGGACTCATTCTAATTGTGTGAGGTGACAGATAGACAACTGCTCGCTCGCAAGAGTCTTGTGCCTACCCCAGAGTAGGGGATAGCCCCCCGGGGAGATGCCAGGGTTGCCTGGCCCAAGCCTGTGGGCTTTCTTTCTTTTCTTTTTAAATATATTTTACTGATTTTCTACAGAGAAATGGAGAGGGATAGAGTTAGAAACAGAGATGACAGAGGAACATCGACAAGCTGCCTCCTACACAACCCCCACTGGGGATGTACCCACAACCAAAGTACATGCCCTTGACTGGAATCGAACCTGGGACCCTTCAGTCTGCAGGCCGACGTTCTATCCACTGAGCCAAACCAATTTTGGTGCCCGTGGGTTTCCTGTGGGAATGGGTGAGGCAGGGGAGGCTGTGAGTAATCTCCATGGGCTCCGGTCCCTGGGGGTGGTCTCCGGTGTCCAGTTCCTAGCCCTGTGGGGACGGAGGCAGAGGAATCCTGGCGTGGGGAGGGAGGGAGATAAAGGAGGTGGGGGCTCTGGATTGGCCGGTTTGCACGTGACAGTGTGGCCCCAGAAGTTGCTTGCTGTCTCCAGGAACTAGCTCTGGGGGCCGGCTCTCCCAAGGTCGCAGGGCCCCCAGGTGTCAAAGCACAGGTCAGACCATAACTCTGTCCATCCATCTCCTCCCCACAGCTCTGCCAGAACTCCAGCAGCTCCCTCCCGTGGCTTGGTTCCTTTGTCTCAGAGATGCCTGCCAGCCCCTCTCCTTCCCTTTTCAGGCGCACTGTTTCTCCAATCAGAAGGTGGGCTTATCCCTCCCACGGACCCTGGGCCAGCCCGGCTGGCTGTGATGGTGATGCTGTTAGAAGCAATGCCACACCAGCTGCAGGGGCTCAGGAGGGCGTGGGTGTGGGAGCTGCCACTCAACAATGCCTGCTTACTGCTGGGGAGACCTCAGAGGGAGAGGGGGAAAGAGAGGGAGGGAAAGGGGAAGAGGGGGAGGGAGAGAGAGAAGGAGGGAGAGGGGGAGAGAGGGAGAGAGAGATTGCCTGGACACCTGCGTGCCCCTGGCTCAGACTTCTTGCCTCACTCACACCCAGGGACTGGCTGAGAGGCCCTGGCTGTGTCCGCTAGCTACTGCTGCAGAACAAACTGCCCCAATTGGTTAGTTATTGTGACAACGAGGCTGCCCTCAGCCGGAGGCTCTTCTGCTCTGTGCGGTATCTGCTGAGAATGGAATATCCAAGACATCTTTTTTCTTTTCTTTTAAAATATATTTATTATTGATTTCAGAAAGGGAGAGGGAGATAGAAACATCAATGACGAAAGAGAATCAATGATTATCTGCCTTCTGCAACGCTCTCCCCCACCCCCCACTGGGGATAGAGCCCGCAACCTGATCAGGTGCCCTTGACCGGAATGGAACCCAGGACCCTTCAGTTTACAGGCTAATGCCTCACCTGCGGTGACTGGGGTAGCCCAGGTATGGTCAGCTGACACACCTGGTCAGGTGTCCCCGGTGAGGCCTCTCCACATGGCTGGTTTGGGCGTAGCACAGCGTGATGGTCTCCAGATAGTGAGACTGACGACCTGGCGGTATGTCACCAAGGCGGGGGAAGGCGAAGCTGCCTGTCCTCAGTCCTGGGCTGTGAGTTCCAGAACCTTCTATGACTTTAAGTGCATCAAAAACAGTCATAGGATCAATTGGGCGGAGCATCACACATTTACAAGGAGGAAAGGAATTGTTGACAAATGGAGACAGCTGGCCGCACCAGCCAACAGCAGAACCAACCAGCTGAGCCCAATCTGGATTACAGAACCATGAGGAAGTAAACAGTTGCTTGAAGTCGGGAGGTTTTGGGGTGCTTTGTCATGCACCAACAGATAACTGGGACAGACATTGTTTTTCATGGTGATGGCACCAATTTTTATATATTTTATTTATTTATTTTAATATACATTTTATTGATTTTTTACAGAGAGGAAGGGAGAGGGATAGAGAGTTCGAAACATTAACCCACATATCCACTGGGGATGTGCCCACAACAAAGGTACATGCCCTTGACCAGAATCGAATCTGGGACCTTTCAGTCCGCAGGCCGATGCTCTAGCCACTGAGCCAAACTGGTTAGGGCAGTGGTGCCACCAATTTGTAATCCCAGCAACAATGCACGAGGGTTGCCTCGCCCCACCCACACTTGTTTGATTCATTGATTCATTGATGATAACCATGTGATAGGTGTGTGGTGGTATCTCATGGCGTCCTCCCTTCTTTCTGATAAAAGTCAAAGAGCCTATTGCTCCTCCTGCACACCAGTCTGGTCACAATAGCCACCTCCATTTTCTTTTATTTATTTATTTATTTATTTATTAAATATATTTTATTGAATTTTTACAGAGAGGAAGGGAGTTGGAGAGGTAGAAAGGTCTATGAGAGAGAAACATCGACCAGCTGCCTCTTGCACACCCCCTACCAGGGATGTGCCCACAACTAAGGTACATGCCCTTAACCGGAATCGAACCCAGGACCTTTCAGTCCACAGACCGATGCTCTACCACTGAGCCAAACCGGTTTTGGCTATTTTTTTTTTTTTTAAATATGTTTCCATTGATTTTAAACATCCCAAGCTGCCCCCCTCCCCCCCACAACACACACACGGAGCAGCAATGCAGGCATGTGCCCTGACATGACCGGGAATTGAACAGGTGACCACTTGATGCATAAGACGATGCTCAACCCACTGAGCCACACCAGCCGGGCGGCCACCTCCGTTTTCAAACATGCCAGGAATGTCCCCAGCTCGGGGCCTCTGCAGCGCCTCATCCCACTGCCTGGAATGTGCTCCCTGTGTGATGCCATGACGCATGCTTTCTCCTTCCACTGACTTGTGGGTCAGGCCCGCTCTGCTCCGCACCTTCACCAGGACCCCCAGCCTCTAAAGCTGACCTACGCGTTCCTCCGCGGCAGGTATGGCCTCCTCACTCCGCACATAACTCTCTCCACGGACTTTCCCTGCCTTCCCCGCTGGAACAGGAGCAGGTGCTTTCAATGTGTGCACTGTGTGTGTGTGTGTGTGTGTGTGTGTGTGTGTGTTTGTGTGTGTCCTGGGAGCCAAGGCCAAGCTGGAGTGGTTGCCCGGAGGCGAGGCCGGTAGGCAGGCCCCTTCGCCCCCCAGGGCCAGGCTGGGAGTCCCTGGAGCAAGCTGTCTGCGCCCTGGACATCGCCCACCCGGTTAGGGAGCCTGCGGCCCGGGACGCTGGTGCAGCCTGGGGTCGGGGCCGGCCACCGGGTCCCGAACAGGCCCCGAGCGGAGGGGACACGGCAGGGGGAGGAGGCCCTCCGCTGGGCTGATCAGGATTGTCCTTGCTTCTCGGCGGCCGGGCACCTGGGCCCCGCGCTCACCCCGATCCCGCCCCTGCCCGCTGGCCTGGACGGAGGGCCGTGTACGGCAGTCGCGGCGAGCCCAGCGCCCGGACCACGGCCCTGGGACAGCCGGGGGCGCAGCGCCAGGAGCCGCGCGGGGACCGGGGCGGCGCGGGGGCGGGGCGCGCGGTCCGGGGTAAAGCGCGGGGTCGCGGGCGGCGGGAGAGCCGGTGCCGGCACAAAGCTTCCCGCGAAACTGACGTCGCGGGGCGGCCGCGCAGGCCCCGCCCCCGGCCGCGCCCCTCCCCCGCGCTCGCCCGCTGCGCGGCGCGCCTGCGCACTGGCCGGCTCCCCGTTGGCCGCGGCAGAGCGGCGCGCGCCGGCTGGTGCAGGGCGCGCCCCCCCATTGGCCGGCAGGCGGCGGGCGGGGGTGTGTCCGCGCCGCGCCCCGCCCTCGTCTCCGCTCGCGGTGGTGCGCGCGGCGGCGGCGGCGGCGCGTGGCAGGTCCGGCGGGCTCGAGGCGGCGGCTGAGGCGGCCTGGTCCCGGCCCGGCCTCGTCCCGCCCGGCTGCCCGGACCCGACCCCGGCCCGCCCGCCCGCCCGGCTCGCTCGGCGCGCCGCGGCCCCGCCCCGGCCCGGCACCTCCCCAGGGAGCGGCGCCGCCGGCGAGCGCAGGCCTGGCCATGACCGACTTCAAACTGGGCATCGTGCGGCTCGGCCGGGTGGCCGGGAAGGTGAGCGGCGCGGGCGGGGCGGGCCGGTGGGCGCGGCGTCGGGGCGTGGGGCCGGGCCGGCCGGGGCCGCGGGCCTGGCCGGGGGCGCCGGGCCCGGCGGTTGTGCGGGCGGCGGCGGGCCGGCGGCGTGTCCCCGCGGGGCACCCTCCTTGGGCCGCGGCCTGGGGCCCGGGCGTGCGCCGCGGCCCGGGAGGAGGCGGCCCGTCGGCACCTGCGGCGCGGGGACCGCAGCGCCCTTCGGAGGCGGCGCGCTGCTCGCCCCTGCGGCGGCCGGTGAGTGCGCGCCGCTCCGCGCCTGCGGGTCCGGTGGCGCCTCGCACGGGTTTCACGCGGCCAGCGGGGCCCCCGCGGCCAGGCCTCCCTCTGCTGCTCTCCCGCCCGGGCCCGCCCTCCGCGGGGCCGAGGCCGGGGCTCCTGGCACCTGTGGGCATTGAGGCTTGGCTGTTTCCAGGAGCCGGCCGGCCGTGCCGCTGACCAGCCCCGGACCGTACCCTGGATGGGAACCCTGTTCCCATCGCCAGCGGCGGAAGCTTCGGGTGGGAGAGGAGCAGAGGCAGTCAGACGAAGGTAACACGGACGCAGACCCTCGGGAGCGGCTTCCCGAGCCAGAGCGAGCCGGCCCTGTGGGGGCTGCAGCTGCCCGCCCGCCCGCCCGCCGCCGGGCCTGCAGGAGGCGTGGCCTCCGGCCTAGGGAAGGGTGGGCGCCCCGCAGCCCCGAGACCCTCCCGACCTAGCGCCCAGCGGCACGCAGGAGCCTTCAGACCTTTTCCTCGGAGCGGAAAGTAAAAAGGTCAATTCCGTGGGCAGCTGTGCGCCGGCTGCCCGGCTTAAGAAATGAACGTTAATCGAAACCTTCTGGATATTCTGCCTCAGTCCCGCCCCCTTCCTCTGCTCCGCGGAAGCCGTGCCCGGCTAGGCTTATTGGCACCTGAGACGGCACAGAGTCGAGGTTGGCCAGCGTGGCGGCAGGTCGGATGGGTAGCCTCGTGCGGGTGGCAAGTGCAGCCCGCTGCCCGCTCCTCTGGTGCGGTCTCGGGGGGGACGGCCAGCCCCGGCACGGCTACCTGCTGTCTGTGGCAGACTGCCCACGCCCTCGCCTGCCGATCTCTGGCTCCTGAAGGGGCTGGTCGGTGCCTGCCTGTCACCAGTACCTTACCCGTCCCGCATGTAACGTGTGAAATGTGGTTGATTTGTAGACCAAGTACACGCTGATAGACGAGCAGGACATCCCGCTGGTGGAGGGCTACTCCTTCGAGGTGAGGGCTCCCCCTTCGCCAGCCCTTGGGGAGGGCCGGGCCGGGCCGGGCCGGGCCGGGCCGGGCGGGGTGGCTTCCTCCCCCACGGGAGGGCCTGGAGCTCCCTGCAGAACTCGGGTCTCAGCGCTGCCTCTGTGGCACTCCTTCTCCCTGTAGCCACCCTGATTGCTCCTCTTCCCGAGGAGAGACCAGTTGTGCCACATCCATGACTGAATTCAACTGGACGAGCCCTGGTTCCTTTTGAGGCTGTCCCCCACCATCCCTGGCCTGGGCCCTGTCCCTCCCGGTGCCCAGTGCTCCTTCCTCTCTTCTTCCTGGCGCCCCTGCCTTCCACTGCGGCTGCTTGACCAGCTTCTGTTCAGGCCCCAGGCCCCAGGCCCCCACCGCTCCTCCCTCCGTGAAATACTCGGGGACTCCCCACACACTCATCCCCGCTCCTCACGCGCCTGCAGCAGCTGCTTGTGCCGGGTGCCCTTCTCACTGGTGGTGGCTTTTGTGAGACCTCCTCTCCCTGTCCGCTGTGCTGCTGCCTGTCACGCTCAAATGCAGGGGCTCGGACACGCTGGCTCGTGCTGTGTCCAGGCCTCCCAGGTCCCAGCTGCCTGTTCACGGCGCTCGGTGTATGTAAGGGGGATCTGAACGGCTGCTGCGTGCCGAAGGCTTCTTAGCAGACCTGTGCCTTGTTCCTTCTCAGGCCAGGATGGAAGTGGATGCCGATGGAAATGGTGCTAAGATATTCGCTTACGCCTTCGACAAAAACCGAGGAAGGGGCTCGGGCAGGCTTCTGCATGAGTTGCTGTGGTGAGTATTACCGGGCTGCTTGCTCCCCACTGGGTCCTGCGTGAACCCTGGGGTACAGGAGCCAGGGCGGCCTCCCTCGTGCTCTGTGCCCTCGGCTAACTCCGAGGAGGGCCGTGTACTGTGGCACCAGCAGGCCGCCGGTCTCCGGACCACATGCTCTGCTGTTCACAGCTCACGGGGACAGTTACTGCCTTCCCAGGAGGGTGGGTTCTGCTTCCCCCCCTGACCCCCTTTACACAGACACCCGGCCGTTCCCACCCCGGGCGAGCCCCCACCGCCCCGGTGTCTGTCCATTGGTTATGCCCGTGTGCCTGCCGGCTCTGGCTGAGCCTGGGGGGGACGGGGGGAAGCAGTTGCCGTCCTTGGTGTACACGGGGGGGTCCCCTGGGCATCCTGATTCCCGGGGTGCCATCAGTCAGTGTGTGGGCAGTGCAGGCGCGTGGCGGACGCTGGCTGGGCTGTGGAGGCGGGTCAAAGAGTTCCTGTTTCTAGGGAGCGGCACAGGGGCGGCATCGCCCCTGGCTTCCAGGTCGTGCATCTCAACGCGGTGACCGTGGACAATCGCCTGGACAACCTGCAGCTGGTGCCGTGGGGCTGGCGGCCCAAAGCGGAGGAGACCTCCAGCAAACAGAGGTGGGCCTTCCCGCTGCCGGCGCTGAGGACGCTGCTCTCACACCGGCCCACGTCCCCTGCTGCCCGATGCGGCTGTGGTTCGGGGACCTTGCGGTCCTGGACGTGTGGCCTCTGTTCTGGGAGGCGGGGAGGTCCTGGTGCTTCTCTTTGGGGGGGTCATCGATTTTGGGGCGTCTAGGAGCAGGGGCGTCTAGGCTGGACGCCTGCAGGCGGTAGCACTTGTCCCCGTCCCCGAGGCAGGGGAGGTGTCCAGCTCCTGCACACAGGTTTTTTGTCCTGCTCCGTGCCCAACACTGATGCAGTGGGTGAGGGAGCAGGCCACGTGGATCGGAGGTTGGTCTCCACTGAGTCCTGCAAACAGCGCTTGTGCTCAGCACAGGCACCCGCCGGTGGGAAGGCCGCTCCGAAGCTGTTCCTGCGGCCCGGGGGCGCCCAGCTTGGAGCTTTGAGGAGCCCCTGGGACGAGCGGGGACCAGCAGCAGGACAGGGGCTGGAGCTGACAGGCCAGGGTGTCTCTGGCCACATGCATTTCAGGCTCGGAGGGCCCCCACGGGCTTCTGCATGCCCTCGGGCCTCTGGGCAGCTGTCCCCGGCAGTGGTGGTGACTCCCAGCAGTCAGATGTCAGGGAGGTTGGACGGGTCATTGTTTCCTGGGATCTTGGCAGACGGAGACGGGTGAACTGCCAGTTGTCATCCTCACGGTCTTGCTGGAGCCTGAGCAGCGGGTTCAGAGGCCACGTGTCGGGTGGTCCCAGGCTCTCAGACGTGCCTGCACCCTGTGCCTTCCTCCCAGGCGCTCAGCACGGAGGGGCAGGGCTGGGCCGAGCCTTTTGTAATCCTCGTCCTCCTGCATTTCTGGTTGAATGTGACAGACCCTGGCTGATAGGTCCGTTGCTTAGAGCGGTGGTCGCCAGCCGGTGGCTCGTGAGGTCCGAGAGGTTGGCGATCGCTGGGTTAGAGCATTGGTGTGATGTGCAAGTTTCCAGGGTGACCCCTGCTCAAAGCAAATACAAGAATCAACCAATGAATGCACAAATAAGTGGAACAGACATGGGTGTCTCTCTCCTCCTTCCTGTCTCTCTTTGAAATCAATACATTAAAAACAAAAAGGAGCCGGGACCGGTTTGGCTCAGTGGATAGAGCGTCGGCCTGCGGACTGAAAGGTCCCGGGTTCGATTCCGGGCAAGGGCATGTACCTTGGTTGCGGGCACATCCCCAGTAGGGGGTGTGCAAGAGGCAGCTGGTCGATGTTTCTCTCTCATCGATGTTTCTAACTCTCTGTCCCTCTCAATTCCTCTCTGTGTAAAATCAATAAAATATATTTAAAAAAAAAAAAAAAAAAAAAAAAAAAAAAAAAAGGAAAGAAATGCCCTAGCTAGTGTGGCTCAGTGGATAGAGCGTTGGCGTGGGGACTTAAGGGTTTCAGGTTTGATTCCAGTCAAGGGCACATGCCTGGGGCAGGCTTGATCCCCAGTAGGGGTCATGCAGGAGGCAGCCAATCAATGATTCTCTCTCATCATTGTGTTTCTATCTCTCCCTCTCCCTTCCTCTCTGAACTCAATAAAGATAAGTTTTAAAAAGAAAAGAAAGTGACAAAAACAAGGCCCAAGTTTGGCTGAAGCAGCGATCGGGCACTGATTGGCGCAGCCAGCAGAGCGGCGGACGCGCTATCCCCTGGCAGGTCCCCGAGGCCTCGCAGGCCCTGATCACCAGTGAGCTGCGTTAGCTCACGTTTCTCCCCGGGCGCTGGGACGGAGGGCTGGTCCACAACAACCGAAGGAGCAGGGCAGCCGCCCCAGGTCCCGGGGCCAGTGAGCACGCGTGTGCGGTGTCCATGCGGGACCAGCCCTCCCCGGCCCAGCAGGCCCCCTAGCCCCGTCGCCAGCGAGGGGTCTGCTCCTCCGGGGCCTTCTTCCTAAGGCTGACCAGCACCCGTGTCCACCACGTGCGCCTTACCCTTCGTCCAGCGGCGGCACTGGGTGGCTCTCCGTTCCAGCGTGGGGAGCGATGCTGCTGGGAGTGTGGGTGCAGACCCCTGTCAGGACCCTGTCAGTTCTTGTGGGCGTGTCCCCAGGAGCCAGATGGCGGTCCTGTTGGTGGTTTTCTGAGGGCCTCAGACGGTTCCCCAGTGGCTCCCGCTGGATGGCACCGGTGCCCAGGCCCCTCCACTCCCTCAGCACTTGGTTTAGTCTGTTTAGCAGCAGCCATCACTGTCCGTCTGTAAGTTGTGTTATCTTGTTGCATTGTACTGACCTTTACGTACTCTGTAACCATTATCACATCTATGGCTTGCAAATCTTTCCCCTGATTTTCTGGGCTGCCTTTTTACTCTGGACAGTATCTTGATGCACAACAGCTTAAATTCTGAGGTCCACACGTCTGTTTCCTCTGTCACCTGTGGCTCGGTGACATGTCCAGGAAATTGTCGCCAAGCCCAGTGTAGGGCAGCTTTTGTCCAGGGTTTGCTGCTGCTGCTGCTGCTTCTCTCTTTTTTTTTTTTTTTTTTTTTAATTATTGATTTTTTACAGAGGGGAAGGGAGAGGGATAGAGAGTTAGAAACATCGATGAGAGAGAAGCATCGATCAGCTGCCTCTTGCACACCCCCCACTGGGGATGTGCCCACAACCAAGGTACATGCCCTTGACCGGAATCGAACCTGGGACCTTTCAGTCCGCAGACCCAACACTCTACCACTGAACCAAATCGGCTTCGGCTGGGTTTGCTTCAGAGAGACCTTGTGTTTGAGGTCTTATTTTTAGGTCCTTGGTTCATTTTGAGTTACCCTGTTTCCCTGAAAATAAGGCAGTGTCTTACATTAATTTTTCCTCCCAAAGTTGTGCTAGGTCTTATTTTCAAACGATGTCTTATTTTTCGGGAAACACGGTAGTTTTGTGTATGGTGTTGGGTGAGGGTGACCCTTCCCATTCCTCTTTTAAAAAAAATATTTTCATTGATGTTTAACAAAGATACAAGGAGAGGGAGAAATATCAATGATGAGAGAGAATCATGGATCGGCTGCCTCCTGCACACCCCACACTGGGGATGGAGCCCACAATCCAGGCCTGTGCTCTGACCTGGAACTGAACCAGTGACCTCTTGGTTCCTGGGTCGACGCTCAGCCACTGAGCCACACCAGCCGGAGCCCTCAGTTGCAGCCCTGCTGTCCTCACAGGGACGGGGTTGGAGGGTGCGGGCAGCATAGCACCGAGGGGAGGAGGCGCAGACCAGCGATGGAGCAGCCGCTGCTGGGGCCCTGAGCAGGGAGGGGACTGCTGCTGGCTCAGGTGGCGGGCGTGGTGGGGTCCTAAGGCTGAGTCCTGTGCCTGCCGTGTCCCTGGCGCCGGGTGTGGGAGACCCAGCCCTGCCCTGCGCCTGTCAGCGGGGAGACCAAGGCTACAAAGTAGGTGTCGGTGGGGATGAGCCCACAGTGCGGGTGGGCCACGTGCAGTTGCCAGGACAGAAATGGCGGTGGCCGTCCTGGGTCCTGCATCATCCTCTGTGCCAGAGCTGGGCCCCTTCTCCTTCAGGGAGCAGAGCTTGTACTGGCTGGCCATCCAGCAGCTGCCCACGGACCCCATCGAGGAGCAGTTCCCCGCGCTGAGCGCCACGCGCTACTACAACGCCAACGGGGACGTGGTGGAGGAGGAGGAGAGCTCCTGCACCTACTACGAGTGCCACTACCCGCCCTGCACCGTGATGGAGAAGCAGGTACGGCCGCCCCGCTCCCGTCCCCTCGGCTCGGGCCTGCAGCCGGGGGCCGGGGCCGGGGGCTCCCAGAGGACGTCCTTCTCGCAGGACTGAGGTCACCTGCTCTGTGCTTTCAGCTCCGGGAGTTCAACATCTGCGGGCGCTGCCAGGTGGCGCGGTACTGCGGCTCGCAGTGCCAGCAGAAGGACTGGCCCGCTCACAAGAAGCACTGCCGGGAGAGGCGGCGCCCCCTCCAGCACGAGCTAGAGCCGGAGCGATGACTGGGCGGCGGCAGCTCGGCCCCGGCCCTGGCCCCGGCCCGCCCTGGACACCGCGGACACGGTGGTGGTTGAGCCCGGTGATGTGGAAGCCGGCAGAGCCCGGAGCGGCGGCGGCAGCCCTGGTTGTGGGCACTTGGCGGGGCCAGCGCTCCCCTGGAAGTGCTCCCTGCAGCAGGACAGCTGGGAGGCTCCCGCCAGGATGCTTCTCATTATTTATATGTTAATATGTTTGTAAACTCATGTACAGTTTTTTGGGGGGGAGGCCGTGGGGGGTTAGGAGTTTCAAATAGAATCATTTGCTGTCATCCTCAAGCAGCAGACGGTCAGGCCACGGGTCTCAGACTGTCACAGACAGGAGCCACCAGGAGCGCGGCCTCGGCGTGGCGTCCACACGGAAAGTAAAGGGCAGTCACCCAGCACCTGCTCTGCGCTCCTCCTTTCCGCTGAGCCTGTTTCTGCTGGGCCGGGCCCTGGGGTGGGGGCCGCCTCGATCCTGGGCTTCTCCCAGGAGTGAGCCCAGACCCACTGGCCTGTGGTGTGGAGCGGGCCCGGGATCGCAGCCCAGCTGTGATGTTCTCGCCTGGACTCCCTGGGGCCGGCAGGTCTCTGAGGCCCTGCCTGTGAACAGCGACCTGGAGGACGGGAGCTCTGCTCCCCACACCATGCTGGGCCTCCGCCTCCCTGGAGCCACAGATGTCCGAGTGCTGGGCCACCTGGCAGCACCCTGCACAGCCACCCCGGAGCAGGGAGCTGGGCTGTGTGGTTGGCATCTCGCTGGGAGGATGACTGGGTGGCCCCGTCCCTGGAGTTGCTGCTACTCTCCATGCCAGCTCTTCTGTGCTCACTGGGCGGCCCATGCTGGCCTGTTCTCTGCTGAGCTTCCTGTCACTCCTTTGCATGCGTGGTGTCCTGTGCAGAGTCCGGGGAGCAGGCATAGGAAACGAGCTCACGGGAACAGGAGGGCTCTGTTGCACCTTGAAGGAGGGTTTCTGAACGGGAGAGGACTGGCATTCCCACACACTTGTTTGGCCAGAAGCTCAACGGCCAGAGGTCAGGCGTGGGTATTTTCTGGGTCCGAGAGTTTTGCCCCATGGGTGGTCTGTTCAGGTCCCTCCAGACCCTGGGATGAGCAGTGATGGGCTCAGCTATTGGGGACGGTGACGTGTGTGATCCTGAGAGATAGTTGTCCCTACACCTGGTTTGAGCTCTCGGGACATTCCCGGTGACTCCTGCGTCCAGAGGCCAGTTCTGGCCAGGACAGTTGGGGGTGGGCTATACAGGCCTAGGCCCTGAGTGCTCAACAGCTGCTCTCAATCAGGCTCCTGGGCAAGGAGGCACCAGGCTGCGGCTGCGGGTTCTGCCTGTCCTTCGGGGAGTGGCCAGGTTGGTGCTCTGGCCGGTCTACACCCCCTGACCAGCACGTTGCTCTGCGGTCAGCCATTCATCAGAAAACACATTGGAAGGAACGTGCCAGAGTCTGCTGACCACAGCACCCACTGGGTCCTGATACGTGGCTGCTTCCTACGTGTCTCGCGCTTCAGGCATAGCCTTGACCTGGGGGTCACTGTCGGCCATGGAGGTGGCACCACAGGAGGCACCGTCCCAGCCCTGGGCTGAGCTGGGAGCGTGGCCTTGGCCTACAGCTGGCCCCTGCACCAGTTCCTTCCCTGTGCTCATGTCACCATGGCGGCGAGAGGTGCTGTTGGGTGGGTTCCATTGGTCCACAGACTCACTAGCTTCCCTTGTCTGCTGCCTGGTACCCAGCCCAACCTCTTGGTCTTTGATCTTTGTAGCCACACAGCTGAGCATCTGGGAGGTCCGACATTGGGAAGGTCCGTTCACCGTGGGGCCTGGTTTTGACCTGTTGGGAATGTGCGGGTGGGCTGTTTGTCCCAGAGAGGAAAACATCTCTCTTTGGGGCAGAATCCACAACTGTTTCCAGTCCTCTCCTTTCTTCAGCGGTGTCAGCGTCCTGTAGCCCCGGGTCTGACCGAGGCTGTGCTGGCCACTCCTTTATATGCTGAATCTAAGTGGCGGGGGACCCCTGCCCTCCCTGGACGCTGGCTGTCCTCCAGGCACCTGCCCCTGCTGCGGAGGGCCTGGCTCCTGTGGCACCTCCAGGAGGGCCTGCGTCCTATCCCGCTGCCCTGGCCTGTGTCCTCTCCCGCCGGGCCCGCCCGCCTTCCTGGGTGGGCAGGAGGGGAGGAGGGCAGCCGAGGCCCAGCTCCTTCTAGGCTGGCCTCCGCTGCACGCATGTGGAGGCCCTTTGCACACTTCCCTTCTCCGCTGCCCTCATGGGCCCCGCTGTCCTGTCAAACCCCAGGCAAGGGGCGCGCCCTGGCACGTGGCGCCCGCCGAGGTCCGCCGGCCGGGAGGGGGCGCAAGAGCTCGGCCTTAGAAGGGGGCGGCAACTGCAGCCGGAAGTCCCTCCCCAGCACACCGGAAGGAGTCGGGAGGGAGGCCACTGCGGAAGGGGAGCAAGTACCTACCCGGGCGGCGGCGCGGCGCGCTCCTTTCGCGCTTGGGTTCCGGCCGCAGTCCCCGACCGACCCCGCCGCCACCCCGGCCTCGGCCCCTCCCGGGCGCGCAAGCTGGCCTCGTCACCCGCCCACAGCGCCTCGGTCCCCGCCGCGGCCGCCGCCGGGGGCCCGGGCGGGCCGGCGCAGCTGCTGCAGGCGCTGGACACGGAGTTCACGGCGGACTCGGTGGAGTGGTGCCCGCTGGAGGGCTACCGGCACCTGCTGGCTTGCGGCACCTACCAGCTGCGGGAGCCGGAGAGCCAGGTGCACCTCCCCGGTCTGCGCCCACGGGGGGCGGGGCGGCGTCGGCCTGGGCCCCGGGGCGGATCTCTGAGGCTGAAGGCCCTCTGGTTGCGGCGTGGCTCCAGCTGATGGGAAGAGAAAACGGGGCTGTGTGGGGTCTGCGCCCAGTCTGTGGGAACAGACATGTGGGCCCAAACCGCGACCCTCAGGGGTGACAGCTGGCGCTGGAGCACAGGCCCCAGCCGGGACTGTCCTGTGCGGCCCTGAGCACCGCTGGCCCCTGTGGGCTGGTGTGGAGGGAGGCCCTGAGCTGGGCCTGCACGTAGCCCGGCAGCCCTCTCCCTCGCTCCCTGCGCCACCGTCAGCCTCTGTCAGGGTCACCTGGACACCTGCATCTTTTGCAGAGCCAAGAGGACGTTCCTGAGCCTCAGGCCCGCTTGGGCCGTCTCTACCTGTACAGCTGCAGTGGCCCCTCTGCTTGCTCGCTGACTGAGATTCAAAGAAGAGACACGTCTGCCATCCTGGACATGAAATGGTACGGACCTGCGAGCAACCCCCGGCCTGGAACCGCGTCACTGGCAGCATCCCGTCGCCAGACGGGCCGCCTCCGCGCTGTGGCTCGGCTCTTCGCCTGCCCGCCTGCGGGCACTCCCGGGGTGATGCAGCCTGGGGTGCCTGTCCTTTGTCAGTCTCCCAGCCCCAGAGTCAGCCCCGTTCTGAGAGTGGTGCTGGTGTGAGGGTGTGTAAGCTGGGGACCCAAAGCAGCGAGTTCCTGGGGTGCTTTGTGCCATCCTGGGCCCCCTGTCCTGACTGGCACGTGGACTCTCCCCTCAGGTGCCACATCCCGGTGGCCGGCCGCGCCCTCTTGGCTGTGGCCGGTGCCGATGGGCTCATAGGGCTATACCAGCTGCTGAGATCCAAGGTCAGTGGCTGGGGATGGGCGTCCTCGGGCTGGAGGGGACCCTACGGAGAGGGTTTCGGGGGGATGTCCCCCTGCGGTGGTCTCTGTGCAGGGAAGTCCCCAGGGCAGCCACGGCCCGTTGTAAAGTGTCGGGTTCTCCCCCGCAGGTGGGCAGGGTCCGGCCTCTCCCTCTGATAGGAGGTCCGGTGTGTGTCATCGCGGAAGGGCTGAAGCAGCGGGCTGCTGGCTTAGCTGTCGACAGCTCTGAAAGGACTTCTGTAAGGAGAGCCTGGGCCACCGTCCTTTTTTTTTCTTTTTCTTTTTTTAATCTTATTGATTTCAGAGAGGAAGGGAGAGGGAGAGGAAGGGAGGAACCTCAAAGGTGAGAGAGAGTTACTGATCAGCTGTCTCCTGCTCGCCCCCCACTGGGGATGGAGCCCACACCCATGACCTGGTTTATAGGTCTCTGCTAACCATTGAGTCACACCAGCTGGGCAGCAGTGACTTTCTTACGTGGGACCCACCCTTCTCAGTGGCGGTTGGGAGAGCACACGGTCGCAGCGGGGACTTGCTGGGTGTTCGACAGCAGCCCTCATCCTTGGGAGCCCCGAGGGGAGGGGAGAGGAGGAGACAGCCCCCCCCCCCCCCCCCCGGCCATGCCTGCTCTGGAGCACACAGGGTCTGCTGAGGCAGCGGAGGGCTGTGTGGAGAGGCCTTGCTCCTGGCCACGGGAAGGAGCGGCTTGTCCTGGGAACAAGGGAGAAGACGGGCCCCAGGGACCGGATGGAGGCCCAGGGCCCGGGATCGAGGCAGCAGCCGTAAACCCAGAGCCGCCTGTGGGGGGGGTTAAGCGGGTCCAGGTCGCGTGATGAAACCTCCGAAGGTGTTAGGAGAGAGAGAGAGAGCACTTCACGGCCAGTCGTGGCTTTTGGAAAGGAAACCAGAGGGAAGTGTCTGTCATCTCTGTCTCTGAAGACCCAGCAGCCCGGGGAGCTGAGGGCGGCCACCAGGGCCCTTCCAGGCCCGTGGAGGGGGGGGGGGTGGCGGGGGACGGGCAGCGAGGGGCTGAGCGCCATGCCTGCTTCCCCAAGGTCACTCGCGGCTGGGACTTCCTCCTGCAGGTGTGTGAGCTGTCGGGTCCCCCGGGAGCAAAGGAGGGCCAGAGGGGGCGGCGGCCGCCGGAGCCGCGGGCTGCCCTCCAGGTTCCCGGGCGGCACTTGGAGTGGTCTGTGTCCCAGGAGACTGCCCGCCTGCAGCCGCTCGCCAGCTTTGCCCTGAGCAAGCAGTGTCTGGCCTTGTCCCTGGATTGGTCCACCGGGAAGGCGGGAAGGTGAGGG